CGCTACTCCCTGCCCGACCTTCTTGACCCTGCCACTACGGCCTTCCTTTCGCATTGCCGTTTTCATAAGGATCACGTACCTGTGCACCTTGAGGTGACTACCTCTGATCATGTGTACTTCTGGTCCCGAAATCCGGAGGACAAAGGTTCAAAACCTCATGGCTTGCACAACGGTCACTTCAAGGCAGCGGCCCAGTCACCAGTTATTGCCTCTTGCGACGCCCTTTTTCGCAATATTCCTTTGGCAACGGGATTCGTCCCCTCAAATTGGCGCAACTTGATGAATTTTGCAATTGAGAAAAAGGCAGGCGACTTCCGGCTGTCGAAAATGCGTACTATTCAGTTAATGAATTCGGAGGCACAGGCGAACAACAAAAAAGCGGGTCGGGCGGCCATGCAATATGCCGAGGAACACTCCTTGATTCCGGACGGACAGTGCGGTTCTCGGAAACGTCACCAGGCCATTGATCTGGCCCTGTCCAAACGTCTGGTCTGGGACTTGTTGATTCTCAAACGACGCGCGGCTGGGTGGATCTCTAATGATGCCAAATCCTGCTTCAATCGTATTGTTCATTGGGTGGCAATCATTACGATGCTCCGGTTTGGGCTGACATGGAGGATCCTATCTTCCATGTTTAACATGCTGTCATCAGCGACGCATCGGGTGCGGACAGGCTTTGGCGATTCAGAACGTACTTTCAAGCCGCCTTCTGTTATCCCCTTCCAAGGCTGTAGTCAGGGAAATGGGGCTGGACCCCCTATATGGATCTCTGTGAGCTCCGTTCTCATTACCATGATGGAAGCGATGGGTTACGGCTTTGACTGCCTCTCAGCACTGGAGTCACAGTTGGTTACAGCCCAATGCTTCTGCTTTGTCGACGACACTGACGTTATTGAGGCTGGCAATACAGTACATCACTCAGGTGAAGCTATATATGCATCGGTGCAGGAGGCCGCCACTCTGTGGGCTGGGGGAATCCGTGCCACTGGCGGTGCGATCAATCCTGAGAAGTCCTTTTGGTGGCTCATTGATTTCGAGTGGGACTCCCGCACAGGTAAATGGAAATTTCGTGGGAAAAAGGCAGTCGCTCCTGACTTTGAACTCCAAATTCAAGGTCTCTCAGGCGCTACTGAATCCTTGCGTCGCCTTGAACCAGACGACTCGGAACGCACTTTGGGAGTTATGCTTTCTCCCTTGGAAAACCTTGAGGCTCACAAGGCTCAGTTGGTTGCTAAAGCCAAGGATTGGGCAGAACAGCTTCGACCCAACCTGCTTCACAAATATGATGTCCTCCCCCTCATCAAGTCGACCATCATGAAGAAATTGGAGTATCCGATGGCGCTAACAACCCTGGATGCCCAGCAATGGACAGACATTATGTCTCCGGTACTTCAAGTGTGCCTTCCGAAGGCGGGTGTCTGTCGTAATTTCCCTGGGGATGTCGTATTTGCTCCGTTGTCCTATCAGGGTCTTGGACTTCCACATCCGTTTGGTTGTCAAGTGTTTAAGCATCTTGAGATGTTGCTCCGACATATGGCCAACAGGACCAAAACTGGTGACTATATGGAGGCCAACGTCCAAGCCCATCAACTTGAAACCGGGATGTCCTTTGGACTCTTGCAACAAGTCTACACCAACACGGCGATCCTAGCTTCAGACACGTGGATGAAACGAGTATGGCATGAACTCAAAGGTTTGGACATCTATGTCGCCTATGACTCTCCAGCCCTCTCCCATCGCCGTACGGACGACTCCCTTCTGATGGATCTCTTCATCAACTTGGAGGTTGAACAGGAGGAACTTTTATGGCTCAATTGGTGTCGAATGTTCCTCCAGGTATGCACAGTGTCTGACATTGTGACTGCTGATGGCAGGTTTATTCGTCGCTCCGCGTGGAATGGGCTCAGGGATGAGTGCTGCCGCTCGCCATACCAATGGCCAAGGACAGTTCGCCCAACAAGGCAACACTGGGACCTGTGGCAGACCACCTTGTCCAGAGCCCTGCTTGCCTCCAACGGGCCACATTACCAACTGCAACAGCCCTTGGGGCCATGGACTGACCGTCTGGAGGACTGGAATTGGTTACTGTCCCCCACCACAGGCCTTTTCCACCGCCATGGGGCAACCTGGAAACACTTTTGCTCTGAGGGCTCCCACACCACGTCACGTCGCTACGCACCAGGGCCGTCCCTTCCTTCCTGCCCATGGTGGACTGCACCGCTTCCTGCTGACGTTCTTCGTGCTACGGTTCACTCCATCACAGGATCTGACAGGGTTCTTCTCACCGGTACTGGCCGGGCCTTTGAACCGTCTGCATGTTCCTTGCTGTTCAGCTGCTTTGGCAACAGCTGAATGGGATCGTCGCACTGCAGCCTTCTCCGCGTGGCTAGTCCTGCAACTGACAGGCCCTTCCATCAAAATAGCGATCCTACAGCTTCTTCAGGGCGTTCGCACACCTCCTTCATTTCCCCCAAGGCCCATCTCCTCTTCGGTTCGGCCGTCTTCTTGGCTCAGCAGGTGATTGGGTCTCAAGGCCTTTTGGAGGGACGCATCGCCTCGTCTTGGCTTCCACTCCAACAACAATATTATGACAAGATACGATGTCAACGATCTGTCTCTCTTTGGGCGTCCCGCCTCTCACAACAGCTGATCTCCATCGGCTTCTACATGTGGGAGCAATGGAACTCCGTTCAACATTCGGATGATAACGTTCAATTATGTTAATGTCACAGTACTGTCAATGAGGGGATTCACTCACAGTTTGATATGGGTCTTGATGACTTGCCTAAGGAAATTCGACCGATGCTAACAAGCCGTCGACGAGTCCTTCGCAAGTCATTGGTAGACAAGGAAGAGTGGCTTAAGTTGCTTCATCAGGAACGCAGAGATTTCTGTCGCTCCATGAAAGCACAACGCCGCAGTCTGCGGACTATTTTCTCCCCTGGACCCTGACCAACTTTTTGCAGGACCTTACATGCCCCGAATTCACCCCGCCACGTTGCGGGAGAAGTCTTTACCCCCTTGGGACACTTGAGCAACTTCTGTTCAAAATACAGATGCCTCATATGGTTCAAACTTGTTGTTGACTCACCGCTTCACAGTACTTGACCTTTACAGCCAAATCTTTCACCGGCAATCGAATGCCCATAGAGTAGCATATTAACGATTAAAGCCACCTTAGCTGACGCTCTGTTGCACGGTCGCCTGCGTGTGATCAGCGATGGATCCTTCAAGAACGAGTTGGGGACCGCGGCGGTTCAAATCCTGGTGAAGCATGGAGGATGCCATCATATCATCATCCGGTGTCAGACTCCCGGTTTGCCCCAGGACCAGAGTCCATACCGCAGCGAGCTCATTGGTCTGTTGGCCGGTATAATGGCGGTCGATTGGCTCCTTGAGCAATGGTTCCCAAAAATTTCGATCGAACCCAAGGTGCGGATTGCTTGCGACGGCCTCTCTGCTATTGAGATGGCTTTCGAAGACCGTCCACTGTCTCCAACTGATGCTCAGTTTGACCTGGTATCGTCCATTCGGAAGCGATCCTTCGGTCCTCGGTGGATTGGGCGCCCCAGCACATGTATGGACACCTTGACAAGTCCAATCTCTTTGACGAACTTTCTTGGTGGGAGAAACAGAACCTTGAGGTGGATGGTATGGCGGTGGAGTACCGTAAGGAACTTGAGACGGCCAATCATCTTATAGCCCCCAACCCTCGTTTTTTCACTGAACTTGCGGCACTGTACCAAACAGTCACGCCTTGATCCCCAGTTCATCCAAGAGTGTGTGACTCTTCCGGCCCTACGCACCTGCTGGAGGGACAAAGGTACTATCTCCACTGAAGCCGAGTCTGAGATTGCCTGGGACACAATGGGTCGCGCCATGCGATCTCTTC